ACAAAAAACAAAAAAGAAAGAAAAAGAAAGAAAAAGAAAGACACCAAAAAACCTTAAGCTCTAATTTATTCTCCTCTCTATTCTCGTGGAATTTTATTTTACGGGCAGCTTAACCAATTGTCTCAGTTGCATCTTCCTATTGCCGTTGCCTTAGGTTATCTTTGGATTTGCATCCTCGTTCTCCAACAGTGTTCCCCTCATGGCTGTCCTGTGGTTTGTAATGGGTATTGGTCTCACAGGACTCGTTATATCCCAATATATCTACTTCATGGAAATAGTCGGTCCAAAGTATCGTACGATGGCTGGTAATGTATACGAGTTATTTTGGGCTGTTGGATTTTTCATTTCTACACTGTTAGCTTATTTCACAAGAGACTGGAGAAATCTGTGTATGATAAGCACCGCACCTGGTGCTCTACTCTATTTGTTCTGGAGGTAAGTGGAATCAGCACTAGCGTATGTGATGTGGTCATACTGGCTAGTTTTAATTCTGAGTATGCCTTTGTAGCAAAAGAAGCAGGGCCCTTGAATCTGCTACAAGCCCATCGAGTAAAGACAATATTCCTTGGTAAGGAACAAAAGGAATTCTTAGATAAATTAAATTTCTTTTTTATAGGATTTTTCCAGAATCTCCTCGTTGGCTTGTTGCACATGACCACCTAGAAGAAGCAAATTTCATTTTGCTGAAGTATGGAGGCAGGAAGAACCAAGCCATAGACGAAGAGCGCCTAAAGAATGTCATTGCAAGAGTTAGGCAAACGCAAAGAAAAAAAGTATTTGACCTACAAATATTTTGTAGAACACCAAAAATTCGCAAATGGAGTGCGGCATTGGGATATAACTGGTAGGCGTAATTAGGTTTAAACTTTCAAAGTTATCCATTATTATCCAGAATTATTATGGCGGAGTTTAAATGTCAGCTCAGAGAAGCGCGTCTCTTTCCTTGATTTGTGCATGCTCCTGAATTCGTCATCGGATTCCCCTTTCAAATATACCGGCTGGCGACTTGTTGTTCTCTTACAAAGAGGGAACTGGTCGATGTATGTAAGATCAGGGATACCGCATGCCAATAGCGCAGCGCAGCCGTGACGTCATAAAAACGAAGACAAAGGCGAAATTCGGGCAAACAAACTTACAAGTTTACTTTCAGCAGATAATTTTCACAGCCGATCGCAGTTGATCTTAATTTACATGGGTTATTGTTGTAACTTTAAGTAAAAATGATAAAATCGGTTMGTATAATCCTCGTAGCGGCTAAACAGAATGCAATGTTTGTCCGAATTTTTAAGCTATTTTTTAGAATCAGCGCGCTGCGCTATTAAAGGATAGTATTGGTATACCAATTGAGAGACGTGAAAATTCCCATATACTTTTAATCGTGCTTCATTTGGAAAGCACGGGTGGTGTGCGCTGCCAATGCGTCGCCTCTTACCRATGCAACCCGGGTTCGAGCCCTGCCGGTCTTGGTGTCGTATGTGAGTAGAATTGTTTGTTGGTTCTCTCCTGTGCTTCGAGGGTTTTTCCTCCGRGTTCTGCGCTTTTTCCTCCCTCCACAAAATTAATTTCTAAATCCTAATTCGATCTACCGGATGCCTTATCAATTGGTTCGCAAGGCCTGTTAGGCATGAAGCCGTCCAGCGCATTAGATTCTTATAGCGCTCACAATTTAAGCTCTTTTTTTAAAAAAAAGATACATTTATATCTATCATTTTCTTAATCAGGTTTGCATCAACGTTCCTAAACACCGCATTATTCCTTTACGTTTCCAATCTGTCAGGAAATATCTACCTAAACTTCACGATCCTTCAAGTTATCACCGCACTGAAACAGCCAATACTTTGGATCGTGCTAAAAACGTAAGATTTATAAATATTAATTACAAGAAATGTAAATAGTGACGAATAAACTAAACTAAACTTTTGTTTCGCACTTGTCAAAAAGTGTCACCGTCGGCCAGTCTAGAAAATGTTCATACTGAGTCGACATTATAAACTTAATATATGGTCGCGAGGGAAAAGAGTGCCTATTACAAAGCGACTGTTTTGATAATGACTGTATAAAATTTCATTTTAGGTTTGGTCGCCGTATTCCTCACGCTATGGTGATGTTCCTCATTGGAATACTATGTCTTCTTCTGCTTGCCATACCTGATAGTAAGTATTTTAGAGTAAKGTCAAATGTGGAGATTCACATGAGCCGTATACGCCTCGAAAACAATGGATGCTTAGGTGACCTTCGTTCTATTCCCCTCTATGCAAGTCTTATGACATTGACACAGCCATCTTTTACCTAGAATACCACACGATTAAAACAGGACTGTTCATGACAGCATCTGGAATAACTTACTGTTTGTGGACTACAACATTCATGATAACATGTGAGATTTATCCAACAGTGGTCAGGTGAGTTTCAACATTTCTGACAGCTGTACTCTTGAACCAATACGTTTCTGAAGTTCCGCTGCACCGTATACTTTTAAAATTTCCACATTTAATATTGTCTTTTTAATTTGTTACTAGATTGATTTTTGCTCTTTCAGATAACGATGTTTTTTTTTGTCTGTTTGATAATATATATATGTATGTTTAATCGTTCCCTATTCCCTAGCCTGCGTAGCGGCCCAAATGGGTCGGGGAGGGGGGAAGTGGTGGGGGCCTCCTCCACAGGCCCCCCACCCCTTCCCCCCTCCCCGACCCATTTGGGCCGCTACGCATGCTACTATTCCCTGCCACGTCACCTGTCTGATTTTTTATTAGTTCATTTGTTTTTGTCTTTCGTTCTGGTCTTGCATTTTTGCTATATGAACTCTGCATTTTTTGACCAAAGCTGGATGTGCTATATACTTACTGTATGTTTACTATGTACAGCTATTTTTTATTTTATATCGATAGAAACACAGCTCAAGCTACAGGATCATGTATAGGTCGTATCGGTGCTATAGCAGCTCCTTTTGTGGCTATGCTGGTAATGTAAACGTATCTAACAATTAATTTTGCAACCGAGACTGATGAGGCCGGGGAAGAGAAGACGAGGAAAGGGATAGAACTTTATTGTAGTATGCTTTGTTTGTGAAGGGAAAAGGAATTATAGAGCCTGAAGGGGAAGGGAGAGACTATCTCCAGAAGTTGTGATAATGCCATGTGATACCGAACCTGAGTCCGTGACATACCATTGTCATGGAAATTGGAAATAAATAAGCGCGTGTTCTCTTTTTTTCTTGTTAGTAATTTGACGTTTCTGACGTTTGTTAAAATGCTAAGTTTGTAAATACTGATCTTTATTCCATCATTATTGTGATGCTTAGATATTAGGGAGTTTTCATAAATCCCTGAAAGTAGTCATTGTATATATACAATAATCTATTTTTCTCTTTTTATTTCCACAGGGCCGAACCCCTGGGACTGGTTTGACAGTTCCGATGGTTGTTTTTGCTGTCATATCTCTGACTGCTGGGGCCATATCCTTGTTTGTTCCCGAAACCCTTTTCACGCCCATGCACCAGACAATTGAGGAAGCGGAAGCTGCAACGGATGACTATGGGATACCATGTTGTGGGAAACCTGGTAACAAGTCATCAAAAACTGAAGTTGGACTTCAACAATCATTGATGGATACACAACTGTAGGACAAATAAAGCGTGTTTAATAGCAAGCGACATAAAAAATAAACCTTGTTTTAAAGTATAGTAGACAGTATGTTATTCTCAAACTCAGGATACAGTCTTTGTTTAACCGGAAGGCGTAACACCAAAATTGAACACTGTAAGCAGCTTTCAACTACTTGTGTAGGAGCTGGGAAAATACTGACTCATGTTACGGTGGGGGGAGGGGGTTGGGACTTAATGATATGACATCCTCCCTTTTATAATAGATAGCATTACTCTATGGATATCAGTTACAATGTATTGATAATGCGAAACAAAACATGGGACAGTTCAAATGTCAATTGTCAACAACTTTCTTTCAAATGTCGAGTCTTTTTGGTGGTTTGGAAATCCTTACAGATTTGCTCGCGTAGGGACCACTATTCTGTGGATTTGAGGGTTGGTTATCTTGTGGCGCTACAGTTTCAGGATATGGTAGTTCTGGTGTTTTGCTTCGTTCTTCTGAGTGAAGCTTAGTTTTAGTTGTTAACTAGTAAGACGGTAGATAGCTTTTGTCTTATCTTTGTTTACAATGTATATGATCTTGGTTCCTTTGCAGGCTTGAAAACTTTTCCGGGTTGCCATCGCTGGCTGTGGTGGTCGAAAATGTTAATGGGTTGGACTGATTCCAGAGGCTTCATGATCGGTGCAACAGTGCGGTTGTAGTAGGAGGCTTGTACCTGCTGTCGTTGGAACACCTCTTCCTTTGTTTCACTTGTGGTACGGCTCGTAGTACTAGCTCGTTTGGACATTGTAATGTGGTCTTGAACTTACGGTTGTTTAGTAGTTCTGCTGGTGACTTAAAGTTGTGGCTGAATGGTGTTTCCAGTATGACAGGATTTCAAGGTAGGGGTCTTCTCCCTTTTCGTCGCATTCCTTAAGAATGTTTTTTACTGGTTGAACCATGCGTTCTGAGGAACCACTATACTGCGGGT